TCAAACGGGGGGTTGGGGGGCCCAAGGGGGGACCCCCCCCCCCCAGCCTGAGTGTGCAGGCAGGGGCTCTGCCAGGAGCCCTGGCCGGATGGGATGGGACAAAAAGCGGGCAGGAAGAGAACTCCAGGAGGATCTGGACACGGAGGCGAGGGAAGCGCAAGCGCCCAGGATTTGGGCGGCCGCCTGGAATGCACTGGGTCAACCTCAAAGCTAAAACCTGGCCAGAAACAGCCCCGTTCCTCAGAGACGAGAAGGCGGGTGACGGCAAGAGGAGGCGCTGGTGGCAGCAGGGAAGCCTGAGAGGGCGGAGGGCTGGGGCCGCGGGCTCATCCTGCTGGGCCCTCACACTGGGAACCACCACTGGTGCGGACCATGTGCCCGGAAAACAAGAGTGTCCTGCCCTGCCTGCCTGGCGAGGCTCCAAACAATCAGAGGCGAGCCTAGAGCACAACACACGTCACACGCACTCTCATCTTCTCACCGCCAGCAGCACGTGCGCAGGGACTAATCAGAAGAATGACAGTCTTGAACCGGTCACACGTGGTTCAAATATAAAATACACTGCACATGTAAGTCTCCCTCCAGCCCTGTCCCCATTCCTAAAACGAGTCAGGGCATGCGGGGCATGACGACAGTGCCCGTGCACAGTGCATGCTGAGTGTCAGCTAGTGTTTGGGGGGGGAGGGGCGGAATCAGTGCAGAAAGTCACCTTGCAAGGAACGAAGGAGTCCAACAGAGGAAGAAAAAGCAGGTATTTTTTCACATAAATCAAGCAAAATGCTTACCACTACATACTCCCACAAAACAGGTAAATATGCTAATTAAAGTCGTGTGAGTTTCTCACCTCTTGATTGTATATGCAGCCAAACACAAAAATCTATTTCCTTCCCCCTCTTTTTACATGAAAGTAGCAAACTGTACAGGACACACTGTTCAGAACCTTGCTTTTCTTCTTTTTTTTAAAATGAAATATCTTGGAGAGCTTTCCTTAGCAATAAACAGACAGCGCTCTCTCTTTTTTAACCACTGCCCAGCACTGTACTCCACTGTAAGGATGCACGCCAGCGTATTCCACTGGTCCCCTACTGGTGGATATTTACGTTAGATCCAACCTTTTGCTACTACAAACAACGCTGTGATCAACAACCACGCACACACACCACTGCACATGTGCTAGCACACCCACAGCGCCAACAGTCAGAAGGAGAACTGCTGAGGCGAAGGGGACCCGCATGTGTACTTCTGGCATATGTTCCACCTCTACCGGCTGGCAGCAATTTATACTCCCACCGGTGGCCTGAGAGACTGCCAGTGTCCCGCAGAAGGCAGGTCCTCCTATCCTCATTTCACAGAGGGGGAAACCTCTCAGAGAGAGTCAAATCCAGGCCTGTGTGACTCCAGAACCCAACCTCTTTATGAACTGGGGAACAAGTTACAAAACAGACAGACACACAAAGTAGAAGAGGGGAGAGACTGGTACGGAGACAAAGAGATGAGTGACCAAGTCCTGCTGAGAACGATTTTCATGGAGCCACATCCTCACCTAGTGGCTATTTAAGGAACTGCACATGAAGACGATTCAGGCAAACTTTTCACAATTATAGGAATAAGCTGAGCCCACAAGCTGGAAATATTAGGGTAACGGCTGAACCTAGCCTGCAGCCTCCAATTTCTACTTCTTGCTCCACCTCTAGAAATTCTCTCAATGGCCAGAGTTGGGCCATGATGGGTGGCTAATACCCCTTTTATTCTCCTAGTCCCCTCCTCCTCCACTAAAGCGTGTGGTCATAAGACAGGACTGGAATAAGATGATGCTGGGGCAAAAGAGGGGTGCAAACAAATGATCTCTGTCTTTGTTTTAATTATGTATTTTTGATTTGTCTTGTCTGGATCTCGTTATTCAAAAAAGAAGGTATCCATTCATTCTGGGGGTGAGTGGTGAGCTAGAATTATAAGCTATGCAGGAGATATACCTCTAGATAACTTTTCAAGTATACATACAAACTCGAACTAGGTTAACAGTGTCGCCAGAGGCCCTTCAGCAACCAGGAAAGAGGGTCTGAAATTCAGTGATTTTCATGGAAATGGTACTTCTGAAGAGACAGATTATAGGTGGTGATTTTCTCAGTCTGGATACGCAGTTCCTTCATAATCTTACTTATTAATCTGCCTAACAAATCATGCTGTATTTTCCCTGCACCACAGGGTTTTATGTGAGCACTAAGACACATTCATGTGAAAGAAAAAAAGTCCACGAGTGTCCATTCCAAATTCTATGTAAAGTACTACAGAATACAAAGAAAAGAGAAATCAACTCGGAGCGAGATAATCAGGGGAAACTCCTCGAAGTAATGACTGCTGAATACATCAATCATGTCGAAGAAAACATCAGCCTAGCAAATGTATAAGCTTTGGATTTCTAGGGCTCAACTGTGTCTACATCTGTCAGGTGGGCATCTGTAATACTGCATGAAAGTCCGGTCCTCATTTCCATAGATTCTAAATTTTACACATCATCATTCCTTCTAACCCTCTGAGGGTGAGGATGGAGATGGGGATTCTGCTTGAACCCTTCCAGTGAGAGACAGCTTACTCCTTTCCTCAACACCCAATGGACTGCTCATATGAAAACAACTTGCTATGCTGTCAATACCTTCAAACAACCTACTACTCTACATGGGTCCTCCCTGCTCTCTGATCACACATTGTACAGTGTTTCTGGAGGCTAGCAGCTTCTTGGTGGGCAGAGGCCTCAGTCAGCCTCCTTCCTAACCGGGAAGCAACAGGAGATTGGACAGAATGACTGCAGAGCTCTGAGCACAGACGATGAACAATGAATTCAAGCCTCCCATCTGAGAAAGTTCTGCACACACCAGTTCAGCCCTGTGCTTGACCAGACCAAGCAACAAGACACATAAGCTTCAGGATGTTCTAGGGACCACCTGGAGTTTGGTATTAAAATTCTCCATTAGTTTCTACGATCTGCAGAGACCGTATGACCTACCAGATACAATGAGGAGTTATGTAGGCTTGGCTTACTCTTGCCCTACAGAAGTATGGGGTCACACTAACTGGGTAAGCCTGGACTCCTGACGCTTCCTGCTATCTGCTGCACCACCCTCCTGCAGGCCTGTCACAGCTACCAGGACTTCCTCCCACTTGCTCCTGTCCAGGATGGAGAACAGAGGACTGGGAGGTGTGCGTGTGCGTGTGTGTGGGGGGGGTGATGCCCCTCCCTTAACTAAACCAATCAAACGTACAAATGGTCGACTTAGGGAGCAATCCTCCTCTGACCAGAAAGACTTTCCCCACAATTCTGTAAATCACAAGCTCCCCTTCCAAACAATCTGATTACTACCAAATCTGCCCAGGAAGCTGGGTTCTGATCTGGGCCTGTCTCTGTAGCCAAGTGCACAGACGGCACCTGTACAGGCCACGAAGGCCAGGTGCTGCCTGACAGAGCCAGCCCTACCAGTTCAGGGTCCAAAGTCTTGAAGCTCCGTGCTGTTTTTGCAGGAGGCCACAGGTGTAAGTGGTCACGGTGTGCACACAGTGGCAGAATCTGGCCAGAGAAGGAGACAAAGAGGCTCTCAATGCCACTCTTTCTCTAGGAACATAAAGCTACCCACAAGGAAAGGGGGCCAGTGGGGAGGACCCAGCACTGTCAGGTTGCTGGAAGGCTTCTGGGGGAACTAGATGGACAGCAGAAAGGAGCTCAAAGGCAGAAGCCAGTCCAGGCATGGGAGGCAGCATGAAAGCGGGTAAAGACTTACGCGGGGGAGGCCAACAAAAGGGGCAGTCATAAGAGGGCCAGGCCCACCTCAAAGGGGGCGGGGTGCCGGGAACGCTGTGGCGGGAGGTTTGAGACTGGGAGGTTTGAGACTGGGAGGCCGACGGCGGAGAGCTACCGCCGTTCCACCTGCTCCTTCCTTGGATGTACAAGC